GGCTGAAGTCGGACGCTTAACCGACTGCGCCACCCAGGCGCCCCAGCCCAATCTCTAAATTTAAAGCGAGGGGTCCAACCATGAATGTGAAAAAGTGCCAAAAATACAGCATCTTCTCTGTGTCTCTGGATTTGGGGCACTACGGTATTAATTTTAGGTCTGTTTTTCTTCCAATTTAATAAGAATACCCATTACTTCAAAGTTAGAGGTAATTTCCCTAAAAACACACCGGGCATAGTATTTGAAAACGTAACATACTGTTTAAAAGGAAATGTGTCCGGCGGGGGGGGCGGGGGGGTGCGGTCTGGGTAGCTCAGTCAGTTAAGCATCTGACTCTTGGTTTTGGCTCAGGTCACGATCTCACGGTTCGTGGGATCGAGCCCCGCACCAGGCTCTGCACTGATGGTGCAGAGTCTGCTTGGGATTCCTTCTCTCCCTCTCTCTCTCTGCCCCTCCCATGTGTGCGTGCGTGTCCTCGCACGCGCTCTCTCTCTCTCTTTCTCAGAATAAATAAATAAATAAACATTTAAAAAATAAAATAAAAGCAGGTGTGCCCTGTCTCCTGGCGTGCAGACATCCTGTGTATACAGCCCACCCGGAGAGAACATTCTTGAACGGGGATCCACATACATCCTACCGGGTACCTGCCTTGCCTTAACGTCGGTGTCCCTGTCCCCTTAACAAGCACACAGACTCGCTCCCTCGTGCGCGGACCCTGCTGTTCCCCACACAACTGGAACGAGAGTCACCGAAGCAGCCCTCTGCTCTCAGAAAAGGACATCACCCCAGGCTGTAGGAGGGCCCTGGCCATGTGGTCCTCTCAACCTAGAGCTGAGAAGGACCTACGTGTGTCCTGAACGCACTGAGCACGCTGACAGGAGTGCCGTGTTGACTGACGGAGGTGGCCAGTGTCCCGTGTGCCCAACGGCCACATTGTGCCCCCTGGGAATGTGGAGACAGAACGACAGCAGATGAGTACAGTGATGGCAAGGGTTAGAGGAAAAGGGATTTTGGAATGTTCTAGAGCCAGGAGCCGGGACTCCACCTGGGAGAGAGACCTGGTGAGGGTCAGGAGGAAACAAAGGGCTGGGTGAGGCAGTCAGGGCTGGGTCCCGACCTGAGCTGTTCCTGTTGTCCTGTTGCTGTCCCCTCTGTCCCGCCTGGCTGGGGCTCGGGGACACGGGGACACGGACAAGGTGACTGGCGCAGCAGGGCAAGCACAGTACAGACTTGACCCGCCCATCCCTCCCGCCCTCTCGCCCCAGGCCTGACGCTGGAGTTTCCCAGCCGGGCCGTCCTTGGGAGATGGGGAGGAGGGCTCCCATAAGGGTGTTCTCCCGTGGCCTCCTCCTCCCCTGGGGTCAGCAGCATGACCCGACTTGCTGTCTGCACGGCGGCCAGCTCCCCTGGGGGCCGGGTGGGCTGGGAGCAGGGCCCCACGCTTTGCCGGGAGTGCCACGGGCCGGTCTTCCAAACCTGCGGCCCCGCCACTCACAGGCCCTTGCAAAATGCAGGTGCTGCTCGTGTAGATGTGTGTGGGTGCGTTTTCTAGAAGGGAGGCGTTGGTTTTCATCGGATTCTCCAAGGAGAATGTGGTTCTTGTGACCAAAGTGACGTGGAGATGCTGTTTTCTCACAGGGCCTGGGGACGGTTGTGTGGTTTTCTGGGGGCTCCTGGGGGGCTCAGTCGGTTGAACGTCCGACTTCGGCTCAGGTCATGATCTCGCGGTTCATGAGTTCGGGCCCCGCATAGGGCTCTGTGCTGATGGCTCAGAGCCTGGAGCCTGCTTCGGATTCTGTGTGTGTGTTTCTCTCTCTGCCCCTCCCTCGCTCTGTCTCTGTCTCTCCCTCAAAAATAAATAAACACTAAGAAAAACATTTTTAAGGTTTTCTTAACCTTCTACCCATTCCCTAGAAGCACAAAATACCATTACGTGAACAAAGATCGTATTCGTTATTTGGAGTGGGGGTGTGGAAAGACAGATACATCGTCTCAGAAGACAGAGCTCTGTCCAAACCCTGCCTCTTCCCCACCATGCTCCCCAACCAGGTTCACTCCTTGACAGATTCACAGCGTCTGACAACACAGATAGGTATTCAAAAAATACCTGTTAAATACCCGACACTGTGTTACATCTAGGTCCTGGGCACTTTTCCTGAAACTCATTCCCCAAAGACTGAACAGGAAAGCCCTTGTGAGCACCCAGAAGCTGACGCCCAGCCAGCACAAACAGCCAGCCTGCTGGTCAGTATCCTGCTTATGGGTCTCCCAAAAAACCTGCTTGTTGTTCTAAGTGAGACCCGATGTCCTGATGGGCGGTGTGGTTCCCACACAGCTGGCCTCCTGCTGGGAATTTCAGTCCAGAAATCATTCTCTTGCTGAGGGAAGTCTACCTTAGTTCTTATCCGTACATTAACTAAAGCAAATATAGGTTCTTAGGCTCCACCCTGAACCCAGATTTTTAATTTCCTGGAGCAGGGTCCAGGAACCTGTCTTCCTGAAGTACTTCCTGATTTGGGAACCATGGCTACATTCACCCCTTTAAATGAGGAAGGTGATTCCAGAAATGCGATCCTGCCGTGTGCTCCAGGCAGAGAGGAAGGGTGCTCCCGCACGTGTGCTGAAGGCATTTCAGCCATGTTGACTCGCCTCATTGTTCTATATGAGATGAAAGTTCGGTCCACAAAAAGCAAAGCCCAGAAGGCACCCAAAGAGGGCTGGTGTCTCTCATAATCAGTGATAACGATTTCCCAGATGCCCCAAGGGCGGTGACAAGTGCCAGACGCTTGGCACACCCACCGGTTCACCTGGCTCAGTGATGCCAATGCAGAAAGATGCTGAACCCCACGGGGAGACTGTGGGCACACCGCCGTGTCACCTCCACCAGCTTCTGTCCCCATGTCCCCCCAAAGGGAGTGGCATTGCACCTTCACTGAGGGGGCATGGGATTAGAAAGCAGGAAACGCAGCTGATCCCGGAAGACACAGCACCCTGGAAGGCAGGGTTGATTTTGGAACGGGAAAGAGCCTCAGACGTAGACCGCATTTACAATGTCCCCTCAGTGACAGAGGAGGGATCTCGAAGACACTGACAACTAGTTAAGAGCAGAATCAGAAGTGGCTTTTCGGGGTACCTGGGTGGCTCAGTCAGTTGAGCGTCTGACTTTGGCTCAGGTCATGATCTCTCAGTTTGTGAGTTCGAGCCCTGCGTCAGGCTCTCTGCTGCCCACACAGAGCCTGCTTCGGATCCTCTGTCCCCCTCTCTCTCTCTGTTGTCCCCTCTCTTCCCCACCCCCGTTTATGCTCGCGCGCTCTCTCTCTCTCTCTCTCTCTCTCTCTCTCAAAAATAAATAAAGGTTAAAAAAAAAAAAAGTAGCTTTTTCAGGGGCACCTGGGTGGCTCAGTCAGTTGACCGTCTGGCTCTTGATTTCAGCTCACGTTATGATCTCATGGTTTGTGGGTTCGGGCCCCGCATCGGGCTCTGGGCTGACAGTGTGGAGCCTGCTTGGGATTCTCTCTCTCCCTCTCCCTCTGCCCCTCCTCTGCCCCTTCAAAAAAAATAAATAAATAAACATTTCTTAAAAAGTACTTTTTCGGGGCACCCGGGTGGCTCAGTCGGTTAAGCGTCCAACTTTGGCTCAGGTCATGATCTCATGGTCCATGAGTTCAAGCCCCACGTCAGGCTCTGTGCTCACAGCTCAGAGCCTGGAACCTGCTTCAGATTCTGTGTCTCCCTCTCTCTCTCTGACCCTCCCCTGTTCGTGCTCTGTCTCTCTGTCTCAAAAATAAATAAAATTAAAAAATTAAAAAAAAAAAAAAGTACTTTTTCTGGCTTTTTTGTGCAATGGTAGCCATTTAGCGGTCATCAGCTCCTCTCACCTCGGCTGAGAATCTAGGAAAGCAGCTCACCACGGCTGATTTGCCTGGCTTGGTCCCCTCTCGCAAGAGTGCCTAAGAAAATGATTCGACGACCTTGTATCTGGAGTATACGAGAGAAAACTCCAACAGGATCCTCCCTCCACTTGCTGTCTCCTGAAACTGACCTTCGCGGCCTGGGGTTGCAAGCTGTGTGTGGGGCACGCGGGGCCTCCCGCGAGATGCACCCCTCGAGTGACGTACAAATTCTTCCACGGACACTTACTAAAATACCTGTTAGACATCAGGTACCGGCCCCAACCGGACGGGACCGCAGTCGACGCAGGAGCTTTCATAGACGCAAACACGGGAGACGGAAGGTAAGCTAGGACGGGTCACGGTACATTGTGACATGTGCCGTGGGGTGGGGGAGGGGGGTGATCAGGCATCAGTAGCTTCACACGTACCCAAAACTCCCTGCAAATCAACAAGAAGAAAGAGAACCACCGCAGAGAAACGGGCAAGGCACACACGTGCAGTATACGGAGGAGGGGACAGGGCACAGGGACGAAGGCCTGGCGTTCCCAGTCGCCGCCTGCCACGGAACCACAGGCCCCGGGCCAAGGGGTCAGCACCTTCTGATGCCAAGATACACTCATCGGCAGGACACGACAGTTCTATCTGCGATTAGGTATCCAAACAGAGAGATGCTGTCACCAAGAGATGCTGGTTGGGAGAATGGACTGGAGTGGAAAATGGGGCAAAGGGGCAGGAAGAGTCAAACCAGGGCCGCCTTTGCCCAGGTAGGTGATAACCCGGCATGTTAACTCCTTCACCTGGGCAGAGGGTCAAAGACGTGGGGAGGAAGGGCGGTGGGGGGAGACTGAGGCCTGAGAGAAGGAGCCGGAAGGCGCTCTGTCCTCCGGGGCGAGCACGGCATCCTTCACAAAGGAGCCAGGCCGACGCAGTCAGTCCTCTCACCAAACATGAGGAACAGGGTGGCACAGGGCAGCCGGAGCACGGATTCCCAACGGCCGGGTCGCGGAAACCACCAGATTCAGGGGTACTTGGGGTGAGCTCAGATTTACCGTCTCGTAAAGACGGCGGGGAGGCAACATCCAACGTGGGGACGGTATGAGCCCAGCAGAGCACGGACTCGCGGGGTGAGAATTAACTTCAAAAACCCAAAGCCACCCTCCCCGGGCTGGGCGGCTGTGCCGGGAGGTGGGTCATTTTCAAAGAATAGTTTATGAAGTGGAAAAGCAAACCACGGATTAGGGGGAAAGCCCGAGGTGGAGGGGCGTCAGGGCCAAGTGAGGGGGGCTCAGCCTGCATGGCCTCGGGCACGGGGGTGAGTGCTCTGTGGGTGCCTCCGGCTCCTGGGCCCCCGTCCGTCCGTGCCCAGCACCGATCTCACAGGCCAACACACTCCTTCCTCTGCTTCAGATATGATCAGACATGGGGGGGGGGTCACTGAGGACATGAGAACAAACACTCCCAGGAGGGTGTTCCCATCATTCTGCTGAGCCAAGAGTAACAGAGGTCCCTGTGCTGATGGCAGGAGCTGCGCTCACCTTGAACCCTGTCCAAAGCCAAGGATGACTAGGTCCCTGTGTGCTCAACAGGCACGGAGGAGTGCAGGTGTCCAGAGGGACCCAGGGGTTCGCTGAGGGCTGTACAGGCAGTGCCTGGCCAAAGGGTACCTGTGTTTGCACGGAGGCCACTCCCTGGGGGCTTGACAATGGCACGAAATGAGCCCCACAGCAAAGCCCGCAGAGCCCCAAGGACGATGCGGTCCCTGTTAATGTCTTATCCACGCGAGCCCTGAACCACCAATCGATCACTAGGCTCAACCCCCAAACTCTGAGCCCACCGGACGCCCAGGAAGTCATGTGTCCCTCCAAAGTGGAGCCGACTGCCAGCAGGAGCCAGGACGCAGCCCTCACACCAGCCATGGTCACCCGCTCTCCCGCCACCTCTGGGTTTCCAGGAACCAGATAGTGCTTCAGTTGCAGGGGAAGGTGACAGGGCCTCCCCCGGCCTGCGCTGGGGGGGGGGGGGGGCGGCTGGGAAACCACACGAAGGAGCCCCACTCAAAAGGCAGGCCTCAGAGGCAGCTCTTAGAGGCAAGCCCACGTCCAGGACAGACCGCACATTTTGTATAACAATGGGGACGATGAGAAAGCCCTTTGAGGGTGTCTCCCATGTTCTCTATGTGTGTGGGCCCCACGTGGCACTGAGCCTCATCCACAGTCTGGATACTGTAGGCATATCCAATTGCATGCACATTCACTATGGAAACTTCATTTAAAATAAAAACAGTCAGGGGTGCCTGGGTGGCTCAGTCGGTTAAGCGCCCGACTTCGGCTCAGGTCATGATCTCGCGGTCCGTGAGTTCGAGCCCCGCGTCGGGCTCTGTGCTGACAGCTCAGAGCCTGGAGCCTGTTTCAGATTCTGTGTCTCCCTCTCTCTCTGCCCCTCCACTGTTCATGCTCTGTCTCTCTCTGTCTCAAAAATAAATAAATGTTAAAAAAAATTTTTAAATAAATAAAGTAAAAACAGTCATAATCACTTCCTAGAAAGTTATGGGTTTTTTTAGTTCTTTTTTTATGGGGGTGGTCATAAAAGGTAATTAATCCAAGGGCGCCTGGGTGGCTCGTCGGGTAAGCCTCCGACTCCTGATTTCTGCTCAGGTCCTGATATCGTGGTTTGTGGGATCGAGCCCCACATGGCACTGACATCAAGGAAGCTTCTTGGGATTCTCTCTCCCTCCTTCTATCTCTGCCTCTACTCTGCCCATGCTCCCCCATAAATAAATAAATAAATAAATAAATAAATAAATAAATAGCTTTTCAGAAATGCGAGTAATCTGAAAAGGAAGAGATTTACAAGTTTTTTAAAAAAGATTTTATTTGGGGAGGGGGGCCTCCTGGGTGGTTCAGCCAGTTAAGTGTCCGACTTCGGCTCAGGTTATGATTTCATGGTTCGTGGGTTTGAGCCCTGCATCGGGCTCTGTGCTGACAAGTCAGAGCCTGGAGCCTGATTTGGATTCTGTGTCCCCCCTCTCTCTGCTCCTTCCCCATTCACTCTCTCTCTCAAAAATAAGAACCATTGGAAAAAAAGATCTCTTTTTAAGTAGGCTCCACACCCAACATGGGGCTCAATCAAACTCATGACCCTGAGATCAAGAGTCACATCCTCTACCGACTGAGCCAGCCAGGCACCCCCCTTGCTTTCGCAACTTCTTAAAAATCATTACCCAGTTCTTTATATTTGCGAAATTAATTTTGTAGGACCCATTTCTGCATTGAAAACGTGCCAGCTTACCTACTTACAACGAGATTTCGAAAAAGGGTACGAATTACTACCTGAGTGCCCCACGCCTTTTCCTATGGAGACTGTAACGGAGATTTTGTGATTTCACTTCATTCCTAGTTTGCGTTGTATTCCAAATGCTTATTTTTATCTGACACCTCCTGGACGTGAAGTTTCTTTGTTTTCCTAACATCATAGTTTGTCGTGGGATCTCATATGGGGATGAGCAGGGGTACCTTACTTTGGAAAGGTGTGGGAGCCCAAGGGGCGAGTATTACCCTCCCCTTCTCCCCCTCCTCCTCCTCCTCCTCCTCCTCCTCCTCATCACCATCACCATCATCATCATGATCAACTTCATCAACATCAAATGGCCAGCTTGGGCACAGCTGAGGCCAGACGCCCCCTCACCACCATGGCTGGGTTTCAGAACCGTGAGTCGACACATCTCATGGAACTCACCCTTGAGGACGGGCCTCTCACCAATGTTCCGGATGCTATAAGCAGCACTGGACAGGGATACCTCCGGAATGAGCTCTGCGAGCAGGTACCCAGAATACCAGGCACATATGGACGCGAAGAGGAAGAACACAGCCTTCAGAGTGCCTGGGGACAGACAAGACACAGTGGTGGATGCCCGGGGAACAGGTGCCATCCTAGCCCCCTTCCTGCACCACGTCTGCAGGGCGCTCTGAGGAGAAATTACTCCTGGGTAAGCGGGAGCCGGGTCAGGCCCATGGCTGCCTCGATGAAACCATGATGGCTTCGCAGGTGCTGCTAAGACTAAGCACTTGTCGCCATAGCAGCGAAAGATGCAAACAAGTTAGGGATGTTTTCTACGCCCATTTTTTATATTTGCGGTCGGTCTGGGTCTCAGCTTCCTCAAATGCTAACATCAACGATTCATTCGTGGCCTGCAGACTGAAAATCCCAGAGGGCGGGGACTTTGTTTGGTTTATGCTGAGAACAGCACCGGGAGCCCTGTGAAGATGCACCCTGAGAACAGCACCTGGAGTCCCTGTAACACTGGGAATAGCCACCAAGCCTGTCATTATCATCACAGACAAGTTGGCGGCGAAACCTAGGTCTGGCAGAAGCAGAAAGTCCCTGGAGGGAGTCTTTCTGGTTGACTGGCTCTGGTACCTTCCTCCCACTTTTTTCTAATGTTTTATTATTTATTCTTGAGAGAGACAGAATGCGAGCAGGGGCAGGGCAGAGCGAGAGGGAGACACAGGCTCCAGGCTCTGAGCCGTCAGCACAGAGCCTGACGCGGGGCTCAAACCTGCCAACGGTGAGATCGTGACTTGAACCGAAGTCAGCCGCTCAACCAACTGAGCCACCCAGGCACCCCAATTAAAAAAAAAAAAAAAAAGGCATCACCCACTCCTAGGTCAGGGGAAGCCTAGGGGGTCAACTCCTCGTCCCTTCACAGACAACCTGCCACCAATCCTTTCTGATTTCAGCCCCCAAATATCTCAAAGATCAGGACTCAGTTCAGGATCACCCACAGTGCCAAGATGCAGGCCCAGCATACAAAGGCAGCACGAATTTCCGATCAGCATTTAACTATGTGTTAATGGGTCCAGTCCTAAGAATTAAGAAAAAGCAGGACGGGGGAGGGAGGAGAGGAGAAAGAAAAGAAGGTGGAAAAAGAAAAAGGGGAAGGGAAGGGACCCCCCCCCCCCCCGCCGGCCCCCCCCAGGTTCGGGCTGCCTCATATCTGCACCCACTCAGGCCAAGCACCTAGAAATAACTGTCCCCTCCCACAGCCTCCAGGCCTCACCTCCCACAGGTGGCTCAGGACGGCTGTGCTGGTCGAGGCCTCCCAAGTCCTCCATGCTGCCAGCGCCCTGTCCCTGGACGGCAGACTCCCCTGTGCATGGCCTCCCCGGACGACCCTGACAGGGCTCCCACTTTGTGGGCACGGCTGGCCTTCTCTGCCGGCTCTCCCTCCCAGGGCGCAGCCCGGGCCTCTCCTCAGGACCCCGGGGCCGGCTCACCCAGACGATCCTCTGAGTTCCTGGCAGGGGCGCCCCACCGCGGACCTGCGGTCAGCACCCTGGGATGTCTAGGCTGCACATTTGGCACGTTCCGGAAAACCCTTCCTCCTCCCTGCCCCCCAGGTCTGCTCCTGACCTGCCTGCGGCCCATCTCAGTGCATGGAGGGGTCGGGTGCCAGGCAGCTGGGACCCTTCCTTCGGGGCACGCTTCCCTGCCCAGCCCTGATGGAATCCATCGGCCAGTCTCCATGGGTTTACCTCCACCATTAATCTCACCTCCCCGGACTTCTCTGCCTCTCTCTAGCTTCCCCCTCCCCAGGCCACGACCATCCTAAATCCTCCCTCCCGCTGACAGGGAGAGAAAAGCCCACACCCGCCTGGGCTCCCAGATGACGTGTCCATTTATCACAGGGGGTACGATAAAGATTTTGGTCTTTGTCCCTGTCCCTGGCAAGAGATCCTAAAACCCTTGCTATCTCTTGTCTCTTACGAGTGTCTGCGGTGTTCATAAAGGAGCCCCGTTCAACCACACCTGAGCCCGTGCTAAGGAGGTGACAAGGGGGGAGGGGAGGTCCTTAGGTAGCTTTTAGGGAGGGGCTGGCCCAGCATGTGCCCGGAAGGCTGGCGCTTCCAGCCCTGTCCCCGACCTCCAGGAGAGGAAAGGGAAGGGAGTCCCGCCTGGGTCACGTGGTCATGTAACCGGGGCATAATAAGATCCAAGAACTCTGGACTCCCGAACCTTGAAGGTGGGTCCCTTCCTGTAGCAAACATTTGGGTGTGTGAGGACGGTAATGTGCCATCAGCCACGGGGCAAAGGCCCAGAACTCCGAGGCCGGGGCCCTCCCAGCCTACCCCCCAGAAGCCTCCTCATTCAGTTGGTCCTCCCGATCCACGGGTTGTCCACTGGGGATGTTAACTCGAGCCGGTGTGTGTTTGTGCGTGGGGGCGGCTCCTGAGCGCAGGGGGTCGTGCTGATGGGACAGGATGGGAGGCTTCGGTTTGACCGTGATGAGTCGGTCTTTTTCAAGTGTGACCTTCGACATCAACGCCCTCCTTCCATTCTGCAAACCCCGCGGTCCCGAAGGTTGCTAGAAGGTTCTGCGGGGATGGCTTCTGTTGTGAAGCACCTGGGGCAGTTGTGACCACCGCCATTTGCAGGACTGAAGGGACCCCTCAAAGCTGGAAAAACCAGCCACAGGTGTGGCCGACCCTGTTCCTGTAACTCCTGGGTTTGCTCTGTACCGGGTCACGCGATTCACGGGCCCTCTCCTGTCTCACACGTTTGTATGAGTTTGTCCCTCTGACTACAGGGTGCTCTCCTCCATGACCCCCAGCCTTCTCTCTCTCTCTCTTCAAGGCCCCCCCTCCGACCTCAGTGCGGCCTGCCACACACCCTCATACCAGCCCTTGACGTGCCCTGCCAGCATTGCACACCAAGGTCCTCCAGGAGAGTGCACGGGCCATGGGCCACGTATGTTCCAGAATATTCCGTTGGATGCACACCGAGTGAACAGTGCGGTAGGATTGCTGGAAATATGGAGTCAGCATTAACGGTGTCAGGTTCAAAGCAACAATAGTCCACTGTGTCCTGTGTATGTGTGTGTGTGTGAGAGAGAGAGAGAGAGATCACGGCCGGGCTATTTTATCCAAGTGTCACATTTAAAGAAGAAAACTGGCAACAAGAGATTCTTCTCAGGATCTTCCAGGCGCCACGTCCCGTGTGAGATCTCGGAGCAGAGGTGCCGTTTAGCTTGGAGAATTCTGGAATGGAACATGATGGTACCTTCCAAATGTGGAAAGGACAGCGACAGGGGAGGGAGACGTGATTTCATCCCCAGCCGAACAAGGACAAATGAATGGAAGTGACGGGGAAGAAAATAAGGAACAAATAAGGAGCCCGTGCGTCCTCGTAAGCAAGAGTATAAACCGTGGCCGGCCTGCCTTGCAAGGCAATGAGCTCCCGGCCCTGGACATTTTCCAGGGCTCCTCGGAAGGCTATGGAGTGGGTGTGCTTCAGGTGAGGGGCGAGCCAGTGACCTTGCGGCTTTCTGGGGTTGGCTGAGAGAAGCCGAGAGCTGGAGCCAGAACCACCTGACAGCAGGAGGGGAGACCGGACAGCACAGGCCGGGGCCAGTCCACCGTGAGACCTAGGCGGCAGGTGCCGGGGATGAGCTAGACCATCAGCCAGTGCACAGGCCGGTCACAGTCACAGAAGCATCCCGGCTGGCAGGGGAAAGCAGGCCCGGGAGCCTGGACAATGTCCAGACAAGCTGAGGCACTTGCATCAGGAGCTCCGTCCCTGGGGTGAGTGGAGAGCAGATGGGACACGGGGCAGTTTGCGGCGACAGCCTCAGACCCTGGGCAGCAGAGAAAGATCCAGAGCCCCAGCAGGGCACAGGTGGGGACTCATCTTGGGAAAGGTGGGAGCCAGACCTCAGCTAAGACGGCTCCCTGGACCTGCGTGGGAGAGGATCCAGCAGCTTCCGAGGAGGTGGGGGGGATGGGGAGGAAGTATGCAGAGTTCAGGAACCTTCTGTGACCCTGTAACCAGGATCCGGCCTCTTCTTGTGACGTAATGAAGTCCTCGGTGGCTGACAGATACGTATCCTATGTGCTTCCGTGTGGCAGGCATCACATGTGAGGGCTAGAGCGAAGGTCAGTTCTAAGCACAGATAGGGAGTCAGTGAAACTCCTCTCCAGACACTCTCGATCACTGTGTACTCCTGCCTCTGTGTGTGTGTCCTGCCCTCATCGGCGCCCGCAGATTCTCGGGGTCTCAGGCCGGCCCCGGCCCCTTCACTTACGCTGCAGAAGACAGCAGTCCCAGAGTTCACGCTAAGCCAGGCTGGAGGCAGGTGGCTCTCAGGGCTCCCCCTACCCCTCCAACCCGGGGGCGGGGGGGCCTGAAGAAGGCAATTCTGAGCCCGTAAGAACACACCTTCTCTGGTGGGACTTCTTCAACGTGAAGTAAGACGAGGAAGCTGTCTCGCCGACACGAACCCAAACCCCCGTCACCCTGGAGGCGGCCACACCTGCCCCTCTTGTGCCCGATGGGGGCCGAGCAGGCTGGTGTGGCTGAGCCCTATTCATCCTACTCGGGACTTGGCTGCTGTGTGGCTCCAGGCTCAGCCAGCCTCAGCGTCCACAGTTGTCGCTGTCCTGTTGACTGGGGCTTGGGGGCAGAGAGACTGGCAGGTATGACACCCGAACACCACAGTAGGTTTGGAAGGTAACCTGCCTTGTGAGGTTCGCACACCAACGCCCTACTTCTGCGGAGTTAGGACAACCACCACCCAGCAGCTGCCCCACGGGCGAAGGGCGGTGCTGGCTTCACTCACGTCACCCATTCGATCTGAAAATGTCCTTCCTGTGAACTTTCTGCCTGGGACAGACCCAGGGCTGGACTGAAGTAGCCAGGAAAATGTCACTTCCAAGAACGTTGCCAAATCCTTAGCTCACAAAGTCCAGAGCAACACGGTTCTGAGTTACCGCAGGTGACCTTCTCTCATAACCACACACATCCATATAAATACAAACCTGGTGCCGTGTCAGAGCCTTGTGTGAAAGGACCACATGATTCGTGCAATGACTCATAGGGCTATGTGTGAAAAAGGTGTAGGCAGGGGAAAGCAATCTGAGAGTATTCAGCATTTTCCACCAAGTAACCGGCAAAATATTGTAAGAATACAATACAGAAATAATGGGGGGAAAACCTTCCCAAATAGCTATCATGAAAGCCAGTGTCCCGGGGGAGATGTTTTCTCCCCCCACAAAAAGAGACATGTGTTTCCACCCATGTATCCTACCATCCACACGAGCTACCAAAAGCCATGTTGTTCATAAACCACCAGTTTTGTACAGAACATGACTATTCCACACAGTAAAGAAAAATCTTCAAATCCGTCTTTCCAAACTTTGGGTCCGGAGCTGTGAAGGTGGCCTTTAGAACTCTCTGGAGTTGTGACCACACAGCTGGAAAGCTAGCGCCAGAAGGAAAGAGGGTCCTTGACCCCCTCCCGGCAGACAAGCTGTCCCCCGGGGAGGGGAGGGGGCTGCTAAAGAGGCCAAGAGATCTTTCCACTTGTGAACTTCCCCTTTTTGGGCAAGGTCTGCAGACCGGCTCCGGGAGGAATCCGGATCCCTCAGATTATAGGAAGGAAACAGCAAAACCAATCAGAAAGGAGGCAGGTGGGGCAGGTTAACGCAGGAACCCAGGGCGCCCTGTAAAGCCAGGCAGCCAGGCAAGTGACTGTGGACAGAGGCCACGGTCAGGAAGGCCGGCTTTGGGAGACCAGATGACTGGTGGGATGACCGTTTTGTTTTTCTTTCCCTTTTTCCTATTTCTCCCAGGCTTTCTGCGGTCTCCAGTAGTTTGGTATTTGGAGAAAATAACAAGGGCCTTATGGAGAGATGCTACCAGAACTGTTACAGTCAGTGACGCGGGTCACTCCCTGTTAGTCCCTCCCCATGTCCCGCCCACCCACATCCCCCAGGGACTTAAAAAGGCTGCCTCCCGGTGGCGCCTAGGTGGCTCAGTCCATCAAGCGTCTGGCTTCAGCTCACGTCATGATCTTGCGGTTTGGGAGTGAGTTCGAGCCCTGCGTCAGGCAGGCTCTGTGCTGACAGCCCAGAGCCTTCAGCCTGCTTTGGATTCTAGTCTCTCTCTCTCTGTCTCTCTCTCTGCCCCTCCCCTGGAACCTGCTTCAGACTCAGTGTCTGCCCCTCCCCTGCTCTCCCTCTGTCTCTGCGTCTCAAAAATAAATATTAAAAAAATTTTTTTTTTTTTTTTACGGCTGCCTCACTGTCCTCTCCACTTTCCATAATTTGCTGGGCTGGTCAGTTTGACCTGTGGCTAATGACCCCTGATTCCAGCCAGAGGGCCACCAGGTGGAGCCCACAAGTGCCTCTAGCCGGCAGCTGCCTGCCCCCCTTGCTGGCGCCTGAGGTCCTGGACATCCCAGCCGGCACACGCCCTTCCCCGGGACCGAGCCCCGTCCTCCTGGAGCTCGTTGGGTCCGGCTGTGCCTGCGCTCACCTGAGACCTACTTTCCAGGCAAAGCGTCAGACTCCCGGAGCCGGGAAACGGTGTAGGTCTTACCTGCGCCGGGAACCCCGGCCAACTGGCCCCTGTTGGATTCGCTTTCCGCATTTCAGATCCCGGGGCTACGAGGAGACCCGGCCCCAGGGCCGGCCCCGCCCTCGGGCTCGGCCGCGGCAGGCACCGGGAGGGGTCCCGGGTAGGGGAGGGGGCGGGTCTCCCCGGCCAAGGTCCCCTCTTCCTCCTGCGGTGGACGCAGCACTCACCGGTCGTCCCTGGGCGCATCTTCCAGGTGCGGCTCCCTGGGGACCCGAGGGACCTCGCTGGGACCGTGTGGCGAGGGAGGCACCGAGACGCGCCCTCGAAGCGCACAGCGGCGGGGAAGGAGAGCAAAGGGCGGGCGGAGGGGCCGAGACGGAAGTGCGGGCCGGGTGCGGGCCGGGCGGGTGCTGGCCCGGCAGGTGCCTGCAGATCCGGCAGGTGCGGGCCGGCAGGTGCGCGGGGCGGCGCCCGCGAGCTCCGGGCCGGCAGCCCGGGCGGGATGCTCCCTCCGCCCCGCCGACAGGGGGCCAGGAGTAACGAGCAGGGTTTGTTCCTGAGGCAGGACACTGGGTCCCGGAACGGTTCGCGGCCTCAGCCCCCAGTATAATGTCTCACAAGAGGAAACAGCTACAAAGACAAGCATGTCCTGAGCCTTTGAATCGTCAAAGCCGAGTGCTAGCAGGGTCCAGGCTAGCGGTCAACAGCCCCCGGGCCAAAGTCATGAGGCTCCTTGCTTCATCCAGAACGTTCCCGCCGCCCACCACAGTCCTCCACCTCGTGTCCTTTTTTAACCTCAGGGCCCGATTTGGGGAAATGTGGCAGGGACAGTGCCCCAGGGCGCCATCGGTCAGGGTCACGGGTTTGCAAGCCCTTTTGTTCACATGGAGGCCCGGGGCTGCCAGGGCCGCAGTCCAGTCCGGCAGGTGTTCGAAGAAAGCTTCCCAGAAGACGCCCCAGCTCCCAATAGGAAGAGTCTCTCTCTGTGTAGACTCACATTCCAGACACCCATCAGGTTTTTACAACTCTTTGGAACACACCGTAGTCATCGTGGCCTCAGACTGCCAAGGGCAAGTTAAGGCTCCGAGGGCAGTTGGTCACCTTCGCAGAGCAAGAGTGTTCCAGGTGGACAGGTCTTTGCAAAAAACCCACGCCCACCCCCGTGGGCCCCACAGTTCTGCTCGTCCCTGTTTCTCTTCTCCGGAAAAGCCCAGAGGCCTCAACGGTGCAACACAAAATCCCCTCACCTAGTCCCAGGATACGCATCAACCTGTGGGCTGTCAAAAGGGACTTGACCGTGACCCTTCCCCATCGTGGTCTTTGCCTCCTGAGGAGCTGCTGCGTGGCCCCATCCAGGGAGCCTGGGGACACATGTCCTGTGGACAGTTCGGCTTGAGTCCTCCAGGTCACCCCCTCCCCCAATGGTTCCCCACATCAGGGCGATCAGAAGACGGGGTCTCCCAGCTCCAGGGCTTGAGCACTGTACCATAGCTTCAGCATGGCACATTTCCCTTGGGATGCCGCTTCGGGGCTGCTCTCCAGCTGCTCCTAAGTTACATTGAGCAAGAGCATCGATTCATTAAAGTGGATGTTGGGGGGCGCCGGGACGGCTCAGCCAGTTGAGCATCTGACTCCTGATATCAGCTCAGGTCGTGATCTCACTGTCGTGCTGCCAAGCCCCCCATCCGGCTGCACGCTGAGCATGGAGACTGCTCGAGATTCTCTCTCTCTGCTCCTCCTGCCCTGTTCATGCGTGCACACACACATGCTCTCTCTCTCTCTCTCTAAATAAAAAAATTTAAAAAATAAAAATAAAAATAAAATATAAAAATAAAAATAAAAGTAAATAAAAATAAAAATAAAATAAAATAATTAAAAAAAATTTTTTAATACAGTGGATATTGGTTTCATTGACCAAGAGTCTCAACTTTTTGTCTTTGGCTCACCTGATTTCGGAGATTGAGCGTTTATGTCCTGTTGTTTTCTTTCTTTTTTTTTTTTAATGTGGTAAAAAAATACATAATATAAAACCTACTATCTTTTACCACATTTAAAATTTTACATTTTAAGTGTGCAGTTCGGTAGTGTTCAGTATATTCACATTGTCGCGCAACAGATCTCAGGACATTTTTGTCTTGCAAAACTGAGACTCTGCCTCCGTTAATATCAGCTCCCCTCCCCCCAGCCCCGGCTCTTGGCAACCGCCATTCTACTCTTTCTCTATGAAGTCATCTCCTTTAGATACTTCACAGAAGTGGAGCCTCCACCATTTGTCTTTTTATGACTAGCTTATTTCACTTAGTATGACGTCCTCAAGGGGAATCCGTGTTGTGGCACGCGACAGGATTTCATGCTTTCTTAAGGCTGAATAATACTCCGTCGTGCACACGTTCCACATTTTGTTCATCCATTTATTTGTTGATGAACACTTGGGTTATGTCCGCCTCGTGACTACTGTGAGTAATGCTGCTATGAACATAGCAGATGGATGCACATCTCTTCGAGACCCTGCTTTCAATTATTTTTGGGTACACACCCTGAAATGAGATTGCTGGATCATATGGCAATTGTATTTATAAGTTTTTAAGGAACCACCGTGCAGTTCCCCTCAGTGGCCGCACCATTTTATGTTCCTAATATAAAGTATTGGTGTGCACGTATTCCAATTTGTCCACATCCTCACCAACACATGTTTTGTTTTGCTTTTAAATTTTTTTAAATAGTAGCCATCCTAAGGGCTATGGGCTGGTATCTCACTGTGGTTTGATTTGCATGAGTCTCTAATGATGAGTGATACGGAGCATCTTTTCGTATGCTTTTTGGCCATCTGCATATCATCCTTGGAGAAATGTCTGCTCAAGTTCTTCGCACATTTCGTAGTCTGATTTTGTTGTTGCTGCTGCTGACCTGTAGGGGTTCTTGAAATATCCTGGATATTAATTCCTTATCCGATGTATTGTTTGCAAATATATTCCCTGATTCGGCAGGTTGCTTTTCCACTGTGTTGATTGTGTCCTACGATGCACAGTTGATAAGTTTGATACAGTCTCCTCTATTTTTGTTGTTCTTGCCTGTGCTTTCGGTGTCACGTCCGAGAAATCATTACCAAAGCCAGTGTTGTGAAGTTTTTCTCCTGTGTTTCCTTCTAGGGGTTTTACAGTTTTAGGACCTACATTAAGGTCCTTGATCCATTTTGAGTTAGTTTTCATATGTGGTGTTAGGGAAGGGCCTCACGACATTCTTTTCATGTGGATGTCCACTTTTCCCAATACCATTTGTTGAAGAGACTGTCCTTTCCCTATTGAATGGTCTTGGCATCCTTGTCCAAGATCATTTGACCATATATGCAAGGGTCTCTTTTTGGGCTCTCTGGTACATTCCACTGATATATACAGAATCTTTCTTTCTGCCAGTACCACGTTTTTGATTACTGTAGCTTTATAATAAGTTTTGAAATCAGGAAGTGTGAGCCTTCCAACTTTTTCTTTTTCAAGATTGTTTTGGATATTCAGAGCCCCCTCGGATTCCACTGGAATTTTTGGTTGGATTTTTCTATTTCTGTTAAAAAAAAAAAAACATCATTGCGATTTTGATAGGGCTTTCATTGAATCTGTAGACTGTTTTGGGTGGTAATGATAGCTTAATGATAATAAACCTTCCAATCTGTGGACACCAGGTGTCTTTTCATTTATTGGTGACTTCCTTCCTTTCTTTCAGCTACGTTTTCTAGTTTTCAGTGTATAAGTTTTTCTGCTTCCTTGGTTAAGTTAGGGTGTGTTTTCATTTTGCTCTAATCACCTGCATTAGACCCTGTTCCCCATTCTCAGCCGGTCTGTAACAAACATGTCTAATCAATTCTCCCTAGCAGCTCCCATTATTTGAGAAAAAAAAAATGATATAATTTCCATTTCTGCTGATCTATACTAAGGAAATTTTTTTCTTTTATAAAAAGTAAACACTATGTATACTAACAGTGAAAAATGTAAAAAAAAATTCTATGAGGCTAATAAAAGGCGGGATGACTATTTAAATAAATTACTATTAGCCACTTGGAACTCAACTCAGGAACTTAAAATGATTGGTATCAAGATTATATATTACTTGTAATATACATGGAAAATATACATGAAATTTACTTTAAGTGAAAAAGCAGGAACAAAGGCAGACATTTATGCCTATAAGAAGACTAGACGGAAACACATAAAAGCAAAAAACCTGTGGTATTTGCCTGTGCGTACTATAAAGCCACATTACCTAAAAAAATTTTAAATAAATAAGCACTACAAGATATGGAAGCAACCTAAGCGTCCATCGATAGAGAGATGGGTAAAGAAGATCTGCTGTAGATATATAATGGGATATTACTCAGCTATAAAAAAGAATGAAACCTTGCCATTTGTGACAACATGGATAGACTCGGAGAGTATAACGCTAAGTGAAGCAAGTCAGACAGAGAAAGACAAATACGACATAATCTCACTTCTATGTGGAATCGAAAAAACCTACCAACCAACCAACCAACCAACCAACCAACAAAAACCAGAAACAGACTCATGAATACAGAGAACTGGTGGGTGCCAGAGGAGAGGGGGCTGGGGGGATGGGTGAAACAGGTGACGGGGACGAAGACGCACAAACTTCTGCTTGTAAAATAAATAAGTCCCAGGGCTGAAAGGTACAGTATAATATTGGAATGCCTTTGTATGGGGACAGACGGTAACTAGCTGGCAGTGAGCGCTGTGTAGCAGTAAGGCACAGAATGCTGACTCATTGTGTTTTACACCTGAAATGAACACAGCACACAGTTCCCCCTCAATTCCTCATGCGTCTGTGGGCCAGCTGGGCCACAGGCTCATCTGCACAGCCCTTCCCCCTCAACAGGCCCCTTCCCTCCGCTAGGTCCAGGGTTCCCTCCCCAGAGTCCCCAGAGACAGCTACTGTCCCTAGCATTCCCCGTGGTCCTCAGAGCCTGTCTCCACATACGCAAGCCTGCGTATATCTCCCTCAGTCTTTTTACACAAAAGATATATTGTACGTGGTGTTTCACAACTTACCTTTTTATGTTAGAATATCTTAGAAAGCTTTGTACATAAACACACCCGGGCTTTGCTTATTCTTCCTGAGTGCTGTGTTCGATTCCATGGTTGGGTGAAGCACGTCTCTGTCACTTTTTTTTTTTTTCAAAACTTTATTTAAATTCTAGTTAGTTAACATGTAGTGTATTTTGGTTCCGGGAGTAGAATTCAGTGATTCATCACTTACACACAACACCCAGGGCGCATCACAACCAGTACGCCCATCACCCATTTAGCCTATTCCCCCCCCACCACCTCCCCTCCATCAACACTCAGTTTGTTAAGAGTCTCTTGTGGTTTGTTTATCTCTCTCTTCTTCCCCCCACGCTCCCGACCATGGTAAATCATATCTTTAAGCCACACCCTTTATTTGGGGA